TTTATTTATTTATGTGTGTGTGTGGCCAGCTCAGCCCACCAGGGGGCGGGGCTGGCTGGCATGTGGTGCTGGGGGATTGAACCGTGGTCCCTGTGATTTGCTAAGCTTATTCTAAGTAGGTGCTTTAGACCACTGAGCCATCTCACCAGCCCCAAGGACTTAAATTTCAACACATCAATACTTGATGGAAGATACCTATTCCACATCATGCCTAAGATGTCTGATATTTAGACAGATAGTTAGGGTAAACCAAACTGCATATATTGCAGGGTAATAATAAGCTTCTCTTCTGAAGAGTTAACGACCTAAGTTTGTAGATCAAAAATTGGAGAAAAGGAAGGGCTCCAAGATTCGCCAACATTTTGGCCCTAGTCTTCCAAGGTCAGTGAAGACTCAGGACATAGGAGAACCCGTACTGTAATATCATGTAACTCAGTTGTGCCCCAAATTTTCTGATCAAGGAGCTTATGGAGCCACAGAGGAATGTGATCGATGATGTACAGTGTGCCCAAAGAGAGTCACATAGAGAGAAAACTTTCTCTCAGGCTTTCACAGAGAGCAAACTGGTCAAGCATTGGCCATGACTCATCCACATGGCTGACACAAAAGATCTACAAAGTGCAGTACAGGGTTACAGGAGAAATCCTGAGGGGATTTGACTGGCCTTATCTGATATAAAAGTTACATTTCTTGTTATATAGGTCTTGCTTTATCTTGGTCTTAACCATCCAGCAGAAAAGTATAAAAATGAAAGTTTATAAAGTAAAGCCATATTAATATGCTGAGCTATAAAATGCTCTAGTCAACTTCTGCAGACAAACCCCTACTACTGTGGACTACTGGACTGTGTTGGATTATTTTGCTGAATTCAAGCACCTATAATATTTAGATGCCAATAGAATACCCATCTCCGACAGGACCGAACTAGAGAAGGGGGATACAGAGGACGGACCATTTTGAATTTGTATATACAGAATAGTTAGGATAGATGTATGGCTGCTTTCGCTTAGTTCAGTGAGAGGAAGGATTTGTAGTAGTAGTGTATGGGCGGGATGTCCTCACTGCTTCTTGTGCCGTGGATGAACACTGAGAAAATAACAATGTGCAATGTACTAATTATTGAAAATGTCCTACTAATCAGCTTGGAAAGTGTCTCATTGATATTTGTTTCTCAATAAAATAAAGTAAAAAGAAAAGAAAAGAAAAGAAAAGAAAAGAAAGAAAGAAAAACTGGGCATGGTGGTATGTGCCTATAATCCCAGCTCTTGGGATGCTCTAAACAGGTGCATCACTAAGCGTCTGATCTAGTAGTGAAACCCTAACACCCTATAGACCCTTCCCCTAAAATACAAAATAAATAAATAAAATTTTTTTAAAAAAATTACAAAGGTGTACTAATTAAAACAGTATGATATTGGCATTAGGACAAGATATACAGACCAACAGAATTAACATATGGAACCCAGAAATAAATCTCCACATATTAACAAGGAGAAAACTGGATATCCAAAACAAAAGAATGAAATTGGGCCCTAACTTTATAATACATAAAAAAACTAACTCAAAATGGATCAAAGAGAAAAACTTGAGAATTAAAATCTATGTTATATTAGACGAAAGCACAAGGTAAAATATTGACAATGGACGTGACATGAAAAGCACAAGCAACACAAGTAAGCAAACTAGACCTCAGCTCGCTTCGGCAGCATGGACACAAAATTAACAACCACATGCTTACAGTGAGAAACAATCTATAGAATGGGAGACAAGAGCTGTGTGTATGTATTGAACAAGGGAATAATACACGCCAACAAAAACAGTATCCTGCAATCTCATATATGACAAATCTATTTTTGATCCAAGTATAAAAAGAGTACCAAAAGTGTAAGAAAAAAAAGTTTTATATAAAGAATGAGGAACGTGCAGCAGTCTGTTTTCACTAATAACGTCAGTACAGAACAGCTGCCTTGCATATGTGCAATCACCTCCCAGAAAACTGCTATAGTGGATTTATTCTACTTAAAACAATCTACATGGCACAGAAATGACTAGGTATGAAACGATGAATTAGAAGCTACACATGCTAAAAGCTGATTGAAAAGCACACCTCATTCCTATCCTTTGCAGATGACAGTATCAATACACCAGCAGTTTCTATGGACACAGAAGTTAATTTATTACTGATGGGAACTGTATTTTTGTGCTTTGACAGTCCAAGTACTTTTTAATGTTACAAAAATTTTCCTGTTACTACAGGAAGAAATGAGAGGTAACATGCAGATGACTGTACTTTATTCCTGCATTACCACATCATCAGATGCAATTTTTATTGAGGAATGGGCTGGAGCAGCTCACACATAAAAGTACAGAGATTATAACTATTTGGCACTTAGCCCCACACTAGTGGCCTGCAGGATAAAGTAAAATATTTTTCTGGTTTTTAGTATTATTTAGCTCCATATCCATTGTTCCTTTATATATAATGTCCAGCAATCAATCAAAAAAATTGTGAGACTTGTGAAGAAGGAACCATAATGACAAAAAGTATTCAAAAACACCAGACCCAGTAGCAGGTAACGCTGCTCAGGAGCAGAGTGCCTGCCTAGCACGTGTGAGGACCTGTGTTCTAGCCCTACTACCGCAAAATGGGAGGCAATGATCTGAAAATAGGAATAATGAAATTATCAGGCAGAGTTTAAAACAACCATGAAAGATAATCATCTAATGGCAAAGATAATCACATAGATACAGGTAATTCCAGCACAGAAAATAAATATATAAGAGCTAGAAATTTAAAGAAATACAGTACCAGAAATAGAGTCCTTTCAAAGAATTTCCCAGACTCGCACAGTAAGGCATCAGTGCTGCCAAAGTAGGGTCAACAGATATAATGCAAACTACACTACAAAAACTTGGGGGATGGCCTACAAAAGGAAAAGCCATTTACAACGTAACCTATGAGAGGATATCAAACAGTTTCATATATGTTATTGGAGTCCCAGGAAGAGAAAGCAATTTGTAGAGACAAGGGCAAAGAATTTCTGACTGGATGTTAAGGATGTACCCAAATCTCAGAGACAACAACTCTTGAAAAGCACACAATATTCAGCAAAATAACTCCCACGAACACTTCAAAAATACCAAGGTCATTGAGTTGAACAGCCAAAACACTTGTTTCAAATTAAAGACTAAGACACAATTAAATGAAGTATCCAGGTTTGGATGGAGAATTACAAAAATCATTATCAGTGTAATTTATACATTTTAACAGACATTGTGATATATCATCACAGTATGTATGGCTACATTTCAATTTGATAACCGTAAGAAAACATCTTTAGTCAGGTATGGTGGCACATGTCTATAGTCCTAGCACTAGGGAGGCTGAGGCAGGAGGATTGCCCCAAGTTTGAGGCCAGCCTAGGATACACAGTGAGTTCAGGGGCAGCCTGAACTATACAAAGAGATCCTGTCTCAAAAAAGCCAAAAAAGAAAACATCCTGTTCTCAAGATAAACTGTGATTAAGCAGTAAAAAAGTATGGCCTATACAATCTACTCAAGTGATTTAGGCAAGTATGGGTGGTGTCAGAGACATGCATAAAGTAGTGAAAGGAAGGAGGGAGGGAGGGAGGAAATAACACAGCAGCGTGATGAAGTGCTAAAACCTGGTCAGTTTAGCTAAAAGGTGTATGAGCTGTCTCTGTATAAATCATGCACCGAGCCCTAATTTTGAATTTATTTTAAAACAGGTAAAAAGAGATAGAAAAGAGATACATGCACATATATTGAAATTTCTGAAGGGATATGTCAAACTTAGAAATTATCAATCACTGAGAAGGGGAAGATGTAGACAAGAAGCCTGCAAACAAAGATCCGTAAGTGAGACACTAAATTCCCTCCAATCATTCTATCTGTCTATCTATAGCGCATCTAAGCCAGAGTGGAGATGGAAAAGCATAGCTCTCATTCTAATTTGACTAACCTTCAAATGATATTTTTCTTCAATTATGAATGTAGGCAACAAGCAACAGCAGTTTTAGCAGTTCCTGTAGCTTTATCACCAATAGAAATTAATTTATTTTCACTTCACACCAGTTCTCTAGGTTATCAAGGTAATACACACAATTTGGCATTTTCTTAACACAGTAATCACACTTGCTGCTAGAATATATTTAATGATTTAATGCATAGCAAAAAGCATAACATATCTCAAATCTTTGATAACTTTATTTTAGAATACTGGTTTCTTTGAAATCCTGTGCGTTTTATTCATTTGCTAATGTTATTCTGAAAGGCAGACCACATCTTCAGACTGCCCAGCCACTCCACTGCACAAAGGCATTAAGATCTTCCCCTCGAAGTGTAGACACCTCAGTCAAGCAGAGCAGCCCTGGCCTGCAATCCCAGTGCTCTCGAGGCTGGCCAGGCTGGGCCACGGTAAATTCCAGGCCAGCCGGAACTACACAGCAAGGCACTGTCTCAACCCCCAACCCTAAAGAAGTACAGACACCTCATCTGCTTAGCAGTCGTGAGAAGAACTAGAAGTTTGTAGCTTTTGTTTTGACAAGTTATAAAATGATGCACATCCATAATAATGACTATTTAATATTCCTAGTAATTCCTAAATAAGTTTTTATAATTAACAGAACAAAATTTACTCTAAATATGAATTACAACTACACACAAAGCATCCAAAAACCAATATAACACCAATGTAAAATATGTGGGCTCAGAGCAACCTATAAATACAAATCAAGACTGTGAAATGTCTTACAGAGAAACTATGTATACAAATTGTACAGAAACTATGTATACAAAGATACTATTTACCATCTTTCTTTTGGAAAATTTTTTAAAATTTCTGCAATGATTGGCTGGTAGCAGGCATCCCTTTCTGCTTTCCCAGTTTCACTCCAGTCTCTCACAAACTGTTTCAGGGTAGATTTTAACTTATCCATGTCAAATGTAGATGCTGGCATAATCTTTCCATTACCCTGTTTAGAAAACAGACATTGATTAGCTTCTGAGAATCAGTTTTGAATAGGGGTAAATGGACATGCAACTAAAGGGCCCGACAGATGGTACAGCGGATAAATCACTAGCCTCTCACCTCAACGGGTTCCACTGGCGCATCAGATCCTAAGTAAAAATATCCTCAACAGATTAGGGGTCATTAAGCATAAAACCGCCAAGAGAAGACCAGAACTGAGCTGCTATGGAGACTGGACGTCCTGTCTTCTAAGAGGGAAGGCCATCCCTGCAGGCCATTGCCGGAGCAGCAGGGAGAGGCTCACACTGAGCGCCCGCCTGTATCTATCCCATGGATAAAAAAAGAAGACTTCAGTTTCTAGTACTACCAGTCCCTTGAGAGTTCCATGAAAATAAGTTTTTAAAGAAAAAGATGCATGTCAACAGATAAGATAGAAAAAAAATATGGGTTTAGCAAGGGAAGTTAATTTTACATTGCTACTAACGTCATTTATAAAAATTTATATGCCAGAACATTTAAAACACTACATCAAACATGTATCAAAATGCCAATAATATCTTAGTATTAAAAAACAGAATCAGTGAACAAATCCAGTTTCTGGCGCACAGTTCAATTCAGCCTATGTAAATGGATGTACAATAACAACATTTGCTGAACAGAGTAACTAACCTGCGCAAGGCTATGAAACTGAAGTCCAGGATGATAACTAAACACCTCAAAGTGTATTAGGTAAACCCTAAAGTAAAAACAAGTAGAACAAAGTTTCACATACATCTTCTCCATATTCTTTATTTTCAAACATATGTATGCAATCATTCACAATGGTCAGTAGTATTTCTTGATTATGATCAATGCATTTCCGGATCTTGTCCAAGTGAAGAAGGAACTGAGGAAGCAGTTTCTGTTGATTATCTGGAAGTGATCGGAACTGTCTTTCTGTTCGGTTCACTCGCTCATGCATACTGGTGCTAAAACATAAAAGGTGTTTTTTAAATTGGCAAAAGAGTTCTCAACAAGGCCAACTTTAAGATTTATGTTAGGTTCTGTTCTATCATTTACAAACTGTTATTTCTCCCCAATATCACCTTAGAAAGTTCTGTATTATTTTTGCAAATCCTTCTCAAGACAATCAAAAAGAAAAATAGTTTATAAGCAGCAAATGTAAACAATTTCACCAATTAAAAAAAGAAACCTAAGATTAGTGTAAAATTACTTTTATGATTTCAATTTTTAAAATACATATTTTTCATGCAAAACCAGGGGACGGCCTTAGATTTCATCATCAAGAAGCAAAACTGTGGGCCACCGAGTGGTGTACACTTGTAACACCAGCACTTGGGAAGCTGAGACAGGAGGGCAGCCTCAGGTGGGAGCCAGCCTGAACCACGCAGCGAGAGCCAGGTTCTAAAAAACTCTTGCTGTGAAAAAAGAAAATGTATGAGTGCTACATTGCTTGCCCAGCATGTGTGAGAGGCCCCAGCACTGCAAAAATGAATAAGTTAGTTTGAATATATAAAATGTGTTTTCAAAATTAAAATTTGGAAAAAAATATCATAAGAGCTTATACACAAAATAGTAAGCAAATGAAAAACTAAGTACTTTACATAATATTCACAATTTGCATTGCAAAAGTTTCTAGAGTAAGCTTATTGTCCTTTGGGGGATTATTTATTAATAAAATTAAAATAGAGAACATTATATATTTCTTGAAACAGTCTATGTAGTTCAAGTTCGCCTTGAACTCACTCGTTCAAGACCAGGCTGGCTTCAAATCTGTAGAGCTCCCCCTGCTTCTGCCTCCCAACTGCTGGGATTACAGTGTGCGCTACCACACCTAGCTGTGATAGCATAATTCTAGAAATTAAATATGCTGCACACAATAGTACCGTTTACATTATCGAGACTGGCAAAACTTAAAAGTCTCTCCATGCCTGGCTTATTTCATCTAGCACCTTTCTATTCAAAATGTGGTACACAAAGGAAAAGTATCAAATGCTGGTGAAATCGCAGAGTAATTAGGACACCTAATAATTAGGACACACTGATGGTGGGTACATAAATAAGCACAACCACTTTGGAAAATACTTAGCATCACGTAGTAAAGCTCACGGCGGTGTCTGCCATATGCCAGCAGTGCTCCTACACACACACTCAAGAAACTCCTGTAAATAGCAGCATGAACATGGACAGGCTTCACCACAGCACTGTTAGAGGCAACAAACCGTGCCAAAGGCCTATCCTAGTAGCCTGAATGAGGAAACTGCAGTAGAGTTACACAAGAGAATCAATGAAATGAAGAAAGTGGTTCCAATAAAATGCAGGAACATAAATATCTGTTTAAAAAAAAAAAGCAAGCTGAAAAAGAATACATAGGTACAATTCCTCAAGTAATTTAGGAAACTATTAAGGAAAGCAAAGAGAAGAAAATTCAGGAACATTGTTATCTCTGAGGGGAAAACAGTGATGAGTTGATGGGTATTTACTATATACTTCCTTATCTTTTGGAGAGAAGGTCTTGCTATGTCTCTCAGGATAGCCTTGAACTCATTATGTAGCCCAGGCTGGCCTCCAACTCACAGCAATCCTCCTCCTGCCTCAGCTACCCAAGTACAGAGATTACAGTGGTTACAGGTGTGTGCCACTATGCCTGGATCTTCCTTACATTTTATATAACATATATATATGTATATTATATATAATACATATATATTATATATATATATATATATATATATATCTCCACATATGATCCAAATGCACACAGAAGTAGTCTAGGACATACGTGAAATTTTTCATCCTTAGAATTTTCCTAGGTTGGAAAAAAAGTTCTTAAATATTGTTATGATCAGAAAGGCTACTTAACATTACACTTTATGTAACTAAACTTTATAACATCTATGTATATGTTTTAAAGGTCCCTTGGCATTTACTCAATACAAAATGAAAATGAAGAATATTTTCTAATTTGGTTGACTAAATTATTCTCTCTATTCAGCCAAACAAGTCTCATTTTTGTATTTTTAGGTCAAATTACACTCTAATTTCTGAATAGTAAAAAAGAAGTTTAGAAGAAGCTCTTGCCAAAACTCCAGCAAAAGCCTAGGCATGTTTCAGGAAGCCTGAATATGGTGGACTGGTAGGAAGTTCTTAAGGGCAATCAATGTGAAGAAGTCCCGTCAGCAGCAGATGCGCTCTTCTTTGCCACAACACAAAGTGTGATAGAGACCTCTGAAGTCAGACAGACCTGTACTGAAATTCAAGTCACTTCACCTACTTGCAATGTGTCGCCAAAATTCCTTCCTCTGTGCCACATGTCTCACATACAACAAGAGAATAATAATAATAGTAATGACCATCACCACAGAAACTTCCATTTATTGAGATTTCATTGAAGCTGGCCATTAACCCAGCTACGTACATAATGTGGATTAACCTGAAAAATGTCCATAAAACTTCTCAAAGATCCTCCTCCAACTACCTCATCAGGGTTCACTGAAAAGGAAACTAAGGTATACAACACAGACCACTGGCTGAAAACACAGCAAGGACTCAGAAATCAGCATCTAATTTACCCAATTAACATGTTCACAATGAAAATACGACAAATGCAAAAATACAAAATATTCAGAGGGTCAATAATATCTAGAAAAATTTTAAACTTTTGCATATATGTCTCATCAAGAAAAATCACATAGCATCTTTAAAAAAAACCCTGAATACTGATGGCTTCTAATTGGATATGCTTTAAGTATGTATGTATTTATGAAGTGATCTTATATAGGTAAAAAGTGGAATGACTACATCAAGTTAATTCAGGCTGCGCCGGGCCCACACCAGGCACACTGAGCCAGCCACCAGAGACTGGCAAGGTGGCGCATGCCTGTAAAACCAGCCCTGGGGAGGCTGAAAACAGGGGGATCACTATGAGTCCGAGCTACACAGTGAGACCCTGTACCAAATATATATATATATATATATATATATATATATACCTAAATAAAGCTAATTAACACATCAGCCCCCTCACAAACTCAGCATTTATTCCTTCTGGGTAAACACAACTCTCCCCTCTGACTAACATGTCCCCATACTTTCTCCACCCTTCCCCCATCTGTGGTAATCAGTGCACTACTCTGCTGGGAAACTGTTTCAGATCTCACACATGCATGAGTAGGCACAGGAGGCATTTGTCTTTCTGAGACTGGCTTATTTCACCTAACACCTTTCTATTCAGAGTATGGTACACAGAATCACAGAGCACTTGGAAACAGGAATGCAAAAGCTTATGTCCCACCCAAACCTACTACGTTGCAATCTGCCTTTCGGGGAAGACTCAAATATGATCCACATGTACACTGAAGTCTAGGAGGCACCTGTCATTTTTCATTCTTACCAAAAGAATTTTCCTAGATTAGAAAAAAGTTCTCAAATACCATATGATCACAATAACTAACATTCTGCTCCATGTAACTAAATTTTGCTAGAATATTACCTCACTACTGGGAATTTATACACCTATTTATGATGAGATTTTTTTTGTGTTCAAAGTCTGTTCATACAGATTTGCTGAGGTTTGAACACTGCACCAAAACTCAGTTGGTATTTACTCCCCACTGGGCAGTATAATAAAGAAGGTAGACAATCTAGCTGTGGTATTCAGAGGTGAGACCTCTGGGAGGTAATTAAGGTTAACTGAGACCACAAGGGGAGAGCCCTAACACAATGAGATTAGGGCTTTATAAGAAAAGAGGTGAGCTGGGCTGCTTGGCCTCTTATCCTATGCTGCCCTACACCACAAAGTAAGATCTCACTAGATACGGCCAAGTAATTTTGAACTCTCTACTGTTAACACTTCAAACCAAAATCACCACTCCTCCTTAATAAAGCGCTTAACATGAGATATTTAGTTACAGCAAGAGAAAATGATCAAAGATGGTATTTTAGAAAAAGAAAATTAGCATAAATTTCCAAAGCAGACTAGAAGGTCTACAGGGATTTTTTAAGGCTACTGACAAAATATTTTTCAGAAAGATTGTTCATTTACACTCCTATTTACAGTGGCCTTGGTAAGCTGGGCAGATGGCAGGAATGCAGCAGCTAAAGTTCAAAGTCAAAAGGATAAGCTGCCTTACTGATCTTCCTTCCTGGCCTTCCTCTAGGCACACTTCAAAACTCAACCGAAACAAAGAGTCATCCCCAAATACCTTAGTTCTGACCACAAGCCCAGGGCACTTTATGAATATTACCTCTGATGCTTTATTTGCCATAGGCCCCACTGTCCCTAAAGTACCGAGAACCCCTTCTCTAAAAGCGTTGTCCCCAATCTTCTACCACCCTCCTAACCCCAACTGTGTAAGTTCTTTGAAAATATGTCTCACCTTTGTCATTGCTGAATCTCTACACCTCACTGCATGAAAAACTAGCCAATACTCATATGCCCAAGATACCACTTGGGGTTCTCCATGGAGCTACATGGAATTACAGTTGCATGGGAGCTGGAGGGGTGAGTTATGCTATCAATGGCTGATGCAGAAGGGAAGGAACCACACAGAGCAGGATGAGATGCAGCAATCTTAAACCCCTGGTACCTCAATACTGTGCAAGCCTGCCCTAACATATACCCACAGACACTCTTCACAACAGGCGGCACTAGGCTGAGAGTATAGCTCCATGCTATAGCTCATGGCTGGTGTTTCTGGAGCCCTGGGAGCTGTCCCCTGCACCACCTGCACCACCTGCACCACCACCACCACCACCACACTGTGGTACCACACCAAAGTGGAGAACACAGCTTGATACCAGTACACTATTGTAACTGGGGCTTATTTCTCTATCCTGGAAACTTTTATGCTATGGTCCACTGGCCACCTGGTGATTTTTGCAGCCTCTTACTGGAACACCAACAGGCCTACTTGTTTACACAATGCTTTAGTTTGGTCCCACACAAGGGTAGAGTTGAATAGTTCTAAAAGGTCTGCCTGGACCTCAGAGCTTAAATAATTACTGCCTACCCTGTTTTAAAGGAATAATTTGTGGCCAGGATATAGCTCAGCATCGCAGCACCCACCTAGCAAGCATGAGGTCCTGAATGATTCCCGGGATCTAAAAAAAGGAACATTTTGCAAACACACAATTCTTTGGTTCTCAAATAAGTTAGTGTCCGGAAGCCACATGTACATGTCTGGTGTGGTGCACATGCCTATAATCCTATCGCTCTGGAAAGCTGAGGCAAGGACTGCAAATTGGGGACAACTTGAGACTCTTTTCTCTAGATACACACAAAAGAGGAGGGCACTTGGTGATGTAGCTCAGTGTAAAGGCCCTGGGTTCAATCCCCTCCAAATTCTAGCCTTTTGTCCATTAAGCAAATCTACATATACACAAAAGGACATTAAGCAGCAGAACCCAAACCCTCAAAATGTAAAAGTACTCATGATGGGACTAGATTGGCTATCAGAACTTATCTTGACAATGACGAGGCTTATATCCACGAGATCAATACAGCAGATAATAGTCAAATGTGGCCACAAAGCACTGAAATGTGGCTAGTGAGAATGAATTTTAAATTTAATAAAATCTTAATTCACACTTAAATTTCACCAGATGTGATTAGTTGCTACAGTATAAAGCTAATCTAGGATACAATGAATTGCTAGCATGAAACACTCCAGTGTGTTTTCTGCTACACAATTTCTCTGTACTCCTTGACTCTAAGTGACATACTGTTATCATACTCTCTTCAATCCAGGAATCTAAAGTATTTCATTTTTAGAATAAATTTTTTAAAAAGATTTTGAAAACATGAAATCTCCCCATTCCCAGGTGAAGCCGACAGAGATAAGCAGAGAGAATAGTAGCACAATCTCTAATCCACGCACACAACACTCTTTCCTATATGGGTCACAAAACATCAGTTCCAAGTCAGTCCTTTCCTCAGAGTCTATCCAATATTTAATTATAAACATCAACTCAAGCTGGGTGTGGTGGTGCACACTTGTAATCTCAGCACTTAGGAGGCTGAAGTAGAACCACCAGTTCAAGGCCAGCCTGGGTTACACAGTGAGTTCAAGTCCAGTCTGGAACACATAGCAAGATCCTGTCTCAATAATAATAATAATAATAGTAATAATAAATGTACCAGCCTTTTTTGCACCTATCCCTCAGCATTTGTGTCAGCCACCTCCCCTTCACCGCATGGTTCTCCTAGGCACAATTCTTTTATCAAGTGTAATTCTCTTATGCACCGCCTTCCTCCCTCAGTTGCTATTAAATCTGGAAAAATAAATACCCAATCCACTGACTTCCTTTTGAGCTTCCAAAGCAATACAGCCCACAATCCCTATTGCTGGGTTTAATTAAATTATTTCATCAGGATCTCAGAACTTTAAAGAAATCTCTTGTCACCAAGACTGGATGGTCAGTTCAGGGCTAAAACACATTTTAGTGTGTTCAAAGCTCCAGGCGCAATTTGAGAGTGGAGGATGCACCTCCACTCTCAAAATTCTATTACAAATGTAATCGGATTTTAAGTAATTTTTGTACTTCCACTCGGTAAGCTCCTAAATTCAAATTAACATACCAGAGGAGCCATTAGTCAATGGGAATGAATGTTATTTCTTTGCTACTATGTTTTATTTGTTAAAAATAGAGCTTCAACAACATTTGGCAAGCCCTGGTGACACAAAAATAAGTAAGGCTTAGTCCCTGCCCTTGAGGAGGTCACAGTCTAGCAGCAAATGTACATTAACAACTAAAATACTAATGAGATGAACGTTTTTAAAAAGTTGGGCAGGAAGCACAGCAGGACCCCATCTAAACGGTCTTACCAGCCTAGGTCATGACGCGTCTGTGGTTGAACTGAGTAGAGTTCAACTGTATTCAGCTACTAGGGGACTCTCACATCATTTACAGGAATGTGTATCTTTACCTGAAAATCCAGTTGATCTAAGTCCTTTCAGACCTTGGAATTAGAAACTTTGTGATTAAGCTATTTTTAACATCTATCGAGAGAAAAAAAGACGTTAACGTTAGGAAATTATATTATGAATGAGAAACATAAAGCGCCCATCAGCATGCCTAGCCCAGGAAGATTTTCATACACTTTTGCATAATAGAAAGTATAAAGCAGCTCTTACTAAGCTTTCACTCATGTGCCGCGCTCCTCGGCAAGCTGCGGGACACCAGGAGCCCTTCAGGCCTCCACCACCCCCAGGGCAGAGGCAGGGAGCTCATTCAATCGCTCAGCCCGAAAGTGCACGAACACTCGTGACGCGAGGAGCTGCGGTGCAAACTTGTTCTCACACGAACCAGCTAGTCTGGGGGAGCCAGGTCCGACCGACGGTATCCCACGTGTCCGTGTACTCGGGCTCCCTCGCGTCCACTCTTACGGCACTCGCACTTTCCCACCACCGTGCCCTCAACTGTCGCGACTCCTCTTCTCCGGCCACCCTCGAGCCAGACCTCGGAGGAGGGCGCCTGGGCAGGCTGGGCGTCCGCCGGTGCTTACCCGTAGTAGCGGAAAGCATTGATGATCTTCCAGAAGTGCTCTCGCTCCAGCCGCTCCTCCTCCTCCTCCGCGCTGTGCGCCGCTTCCGCCGCCGACAGCGCGGCGGCCGCACCCAGGCGCCCGGCGCAAAACTGCACCTCCACGGCCTCGCCGCCGCGCCCGCCGCCCTCGGGCCGCTGAGGGGCGGGCGGCGGAGGGCGCCGCCGTCTCTGCATTGCTGCCGCGGCCCGCGGCCTGGCTCGCTTGCGTCTCGCCGGGACTGAGAGCGTGGTGGCGGCTGTTCTGCGATCCTCTAGACGGCGCCCGCCGCGGACATGCCCCCAACCCGCGGCGCGCTCCGCCCCCGCCGCCGTCAGGCCTCCCTCCGCGCCCGGCTCCGCCGGGTCTCCAGGACTCCTGGAACGTGCGCGCGTGTGCGTGCGAGGGCGCGGCGGAGGACCGCGGCCGCCGGCGTTCATTTGCTGCTGAGTCCGGCGGCGGCGGCGCGCTGACGTCAGAGGACGCTGCCAGGGGCGTGGCTGGGGCCAGGTGGGAGAGGGCCGGGCTCAGGCAGGGGCGGGGCGGGGCGGGGCCTGTGCGGCTGGCACCTGTGCCCTTCAGCTGGTGCGGAAGCTGAGCGGGCGAGTTGCAGGGTCCCGGAGCTGGCGCGGGAAATGGGACGAGGGCGGTAGAAAAGGAGGGACAGGGGAGAAAAGGTCGGCGCTGGTAGATTGGCTTGAGATCTGTAAATTCAGGGAATCAGAGACACAGTTCACTTCCTGCTATGAGTAGTTATTAATTACATACGGAAGGGGGACGCACAGTCGTATTGGATCTGGGAAGAGTCCCGATCGCGGCTTGATGCGGTGTCCTGCGCCTGTAATCTCAGCTGTTCCGGAGCCTGAGGCTGAAAGATCACAAGTTGGGGCCATGCTAAGCGACGTCGCAAAACCTGTCTCAAAACAAAAAGAGAACACAAAATAAACAGCAAAAGTCCTAATTCCGTCCTAACTGGTGATGGCGCCCGCGCTTGGAAAGACCAAAACACCCGCTGGCGTGACCCTGAACTTTGGCAGTCCAGGGGCAGAGCCAGACTTGTTCTTTACTCCATATCGCCGGGCACAGTGCTAATAGCACTGTCCTACCTGCATTTAATGTTATTGCTAGACAATAACTCATTTCATTTCTTTTAACACACCGCTCAGCAGAGCAATTATAAAATAACGGTAAAAAGGAAAAATTATCTAATTTTACAAAGTGTTGAAAAATAATGTAGTCATATTTAAACTGCCCTGCAGAGACCGTTCTTGCAAAACTGAACGTACACTTACCATACAACCTAGCAACTGCACTTAAACTTTCATCCCAGAGGAAGGTATGCAAATGTGCACACAAAACCTGTCCATACAAGTTCATACCAGCTTTCTTTGTAAAAAGCCAGGAATTGAAAACAATCTACATGTTCTTAAACAGGTGAACAATACACTAATCACCAATAAAATGAATGAGTGCTCGCTGTGGTGGCACACACCCAGCCGCTTGGGAGGCTGAGGCAGGAGGACTGCAAAGTTTGAGCCTGGTAGGTATAACTTAGCAAAATAGTGTCTCAAAATATAATAATAATAATAATAATAATAATAATAATAATAATAATGTAGGACTAGTATGGGGATCAGTTGTTCTTGCAGGGTGATCCATTGTGCCTGGGGAGAAACAGCGGCAAGAATGAGGAAAAGATAGACAACTGCTGGGTTAGGCGGTGACTCATCTGCCTGCTTGGTGAAATGACCCCCACCCCCAGCAACAATATGGACGTTTATTTATACCTTTGCAAAGTTAGTAACACATGACACAAGTGACTAATAGCCTACATTCACCAGTCACGATGTTTATCTCAGGACTGAAGTCGCTCCCCTGCTTTAGGCACTGAGGCCTGGACTCCCTTTCACACATTTGACAAATTTTCCAGCTTCCATGGCTTCCAATGTATCTTTGTGTGTGTGTGTGTGTGTGTGTGTGTGTGTGTGAAAGATGGGTGTTCCATTGCAATTGGAGAAGATGTGTTTGGAGAACTCTTTAGAAAACTTTTTTTTAAAAATGTATTTAGTATGGAATCTACAGGATCTCATTACAGAGACCAGACTCATAGTGATCCTCCTGTTTTCAGCCTCCCAAGCGATGGGATTACAGGTGCTTACCACCGCGCTCAGTCTCAATTGCCATCTCAGTGAGCCCCAGGGGCAAGCCGGCACCAGCATGGCTTGTGGTGCTAAGGATCCAACCTTGGTCCCTGCACTTTGCCTAAATAGGCACTTTAGTCCACTGCACTATCTGGCTGGAAGACTAGAAGACTTTTTCATACTTGATACCAGTCCAAAGATTTTTGTTACTTGAATTCAGCAATGTAACCCTATGTAGTCCAATAGTCCATAATAGTAGTAAGTTATCAGTACAGCTGATAATTGTCAGAAGTTGCTAGTGACTTGTGCCTTTTACAGCTCAGCATATTAATATCTTGTGGTTACACTTTTCTGCTGGATGGTTAAGATCAAGTTAAAGCAAGACCTGTATAAATACAAATTAACTTTTACTATCTGACAAGATCAGTTAATCGCTTCAGGATTTACCTTGGAACCATGTACAGCATCTCATAGATTGTCTGTCACTGTCAGGCATGTGGCTGAGTCACCACTATTGCTTGACTAGTTTGATCTCTGTGAAAGCCTGAGAGATTTTTTTTTTTTCTCTAAGCTACTCTCTTTAGGCACACTATACATTGTCAATCACTTTCCTCCGTTGCCCAATCTCCTTGATCAGAAAATAAGATATCACAGCAGATGTTCTCTATGTCATGAGTCTTCATTGACCTTGAAGGGCTAAGGCCAAAATATTGGCTAGCCTTGTACCCCATCCAGCTCTTTAATATTTGGTCTCCAAATTTTAATTGTTAGGCATCCAGAAAAGAAGCTTTAATGACATTACCCTTTAACAGAGGAAGTAAGCTTAATATTACTATCTTTCTGAATATCAAATAGACATAAAATGGAACTGTTATTTTCTAACAATCATGGATATTCTAATATTTAACTCTCTATAGAATGTTAAAAAACAAAAGTTACGTATTTTTACAGGGAAGTTTAGAAATCAAAACCATATACAACACTGTAGCAAGACAATTCTGATGACATTTTGTAACATACTTAAATGTTCATTTTGACATAACACTTAACCATTCTCTATCTAGCACATAAGAAATTTTTGCCTAATTACTTTTCATTAAATGGGATATACATCACAAGTTTTTTGTTAAAGGCAGAAGTTTCAATCCAAGAGAAAGCCTTATCACAGCAAACATCTTTGTTTTACATTTTGGAAGACTTGTAAACCTGGAATCATGAATACTCAATATATCATGAGATTAACAATAATGAATTATCACACACATATGAAAACCTTTGTATCTTATTTTAGTTTTATACCAAAGCCATTTTAAAGAGAAAACCTTATTGTAATTTTGTCTGAAAAACTTTATCGTTTAACCAATGACTAATTTATTGAGAATGTCTCCTAAGAGACTATTGCGGTTATTGAGAGCTTCTCATTAATGAACTGAAAGGTTGGCCACACCTCTTATTCGGCAGTTAGGCTCCTCTCCAATAATTTCTCCCCACTCTAAGTAATTTTTGCTTAATTAGCTAAAACCTCCTAATAAACTATGTATAAACCAAATTTGATATCACTTAGATCAGCTGATAACTCAGGAGAAAGCATGTTTTTAAGTCTATATCCCAAATTGTGTTATGGTAACTTAAGAGAAAACATGCTTCTAAGTCTATATTCCAAATTGTATTTTGAACAAAAGATCAAAAAAGAAAAAACAGGAACAGCAGTTCACAGAACAACACACAAACATAAACAAATACACAGAACACACAAACAAACATCTTGACAAAATCAGAGTACACTCAGATTTATTCTTTTCTTAAAAATAATTTTATTGAGAAACAAATAGCAATGAGAGTTTAAAAACCAATTACTAGCACAGTTTCAATAATTAATACATTGCATATTGTTGTCTTAGTAGCTATTCATTGTACAAGATGCAGACATGATAGCCTGTCCACAAACACTATTAGAACAAATCTCCCTATTCATAGAATTAAGAGAATGCAGCTGTCATACTGATCGAATGGCTGTATCCACCAATTCTTGACACAGTGTTGGACTATTCACCATACCTTGTGGTAGACACCACCATTGAAAAGCATCGTGCAAACTAAGAGCTGGTAAACTAAAAGCAAAATGTTTTTTATCTTCAGGGTGGAATGGGATGGAAAAGAAACAGTCTTTTTTAAAAATTTTTTTATTTTTTTTTAGAAACAGTTTTATATCAATCACCATAAGAGAAAAAATGTAAATGAACAGCTACAGGACTGAGCAATCCCTGTTGCAGTGCTCCCATGGGCTCCATGGTGTGACTGACTGCCCGCAAATCCTGTAGTAATCTCCATCTTTCTGACCTTTTTTTTTTTTAAATACAAAATTTGGGGAATTCCAAGGATGAGTGGAGTGTTCTAGGTGCCTCGCTATCATCTGTTCACTAACCAGTGTATGAGCTGCTGTTATCTGCTCCTGAGTGAGGGGCCACTGATCAACCCAAACAGGATCATCCACCATCCAAGTTATCTTGGATACCATCTGTGGGGTCAGAGAAGAGATCAAGGTCTCTCCTGAAAATATGAAGATGAATAGCTTATGCCAAATGGTCCCTTTTAGCAGGAACTGGAAGAAGTTTTCTTTCTCCCTTGATTATTTTTACCAACCCCTTGATTGGGAAGAAAATCTTGCTTGTGCTCTGTACATACCCTACGTAGGCGCTCACTCATCAGATGTTCCAGTCCTTGCCATGGAAATAGCCACATTTCTGCTGGACGCAGGGAAGCTCTTTGCCTGGCTTTGCCCAGTGGCGACCTCTCCTGCACAGGGGTGGCTGGGGTTCCTAAGGTTCCTGGTTCTGAATGGTAGCATTAGCTGCCCAAGCATGCACTGCACTGAGGCATCTTGCCTCGGGTTCACCTTCACATCAACATCATGGCAGCTGGGCCTATGGGGGAACAGCCTGAAGCCTGGGCTCTCATGGGACTGAAATGCCAGCTGTATGTGCTGGCAATTGTCTAAGCACTTGGTGGCCATCAGCTGCCTATGGCCACTCCTGAGGCTGAGGAGGAGGAGGAGGCAAGAGGGTGCCCCCTAACAGAGCAGCCAGCTATCAGCATCCCTGGGGGCTAGTGGTATGGGAAGGGTTATGAGTAGAGGTGAATGCTGGCTGGGTAATGAAGGCATGCAGCACCTCTTTCCCCACAGCAGCCATCTGCCCAGCCCCCCTATTTTGATGGGGAAGAGGCAAGCCCCAGTGAGAGTTTCCTGGAGAGGGTCAACATTCCCATCAGTCCTACGTCTGTACTCATTC